GAGGTTCCTTGAAAGTTCATTTAAATATGAGTTCTTCTTCTTCTTCTTCTTCTCCCTAGCGTTAGTCCCGCGCAGTCGCAGGGTCCGCTGTTTTTGTCAGCCGTCGCCACTTTGCTCTGTCCAGGGCATCTTCCATCGTGGCCGCGACCTCACCTAGGTCCTTCTTGATTACGTCTTTCCACCTTTTCTTCGGGGCTCCTCGCGGTCGCTTGCCTTGTACTTCGAAGTCCATCGCTGTTCTTATCGGATGGTCCTGTGGCCTCCTTAGCACATGCCCATACCATCGCAGACGCTGTTCTCGTACCTTTAGCTGGACAGGGGCAGTCTGCATGACCGCTCTGACGTCCTCGTTTCTAACCTTGTCCAGCCGCGTCCAGCCGCAGGCCCATCTCAGCATCCTCATTTCGGCAGAGTGGAGCTGCCGAGAGCCAAATGAATACCAAGAAAACTATCACGTTAAGGGTTTGATGTTTGTATGATCAATCGAGACGTGTTGAGACTGGGAAATCCCCCTGGTCAGCATGAAATGGGTAGCAGGAAACATATCGAACCTCTCCACCATGCTCGCGCAGAACATCCTTCAGCTCCACCCGGCGGACCTTATAGGCAAGATTAGTGATAAACACCATATGTTCGCCCATGCTACCAGCACCACCGCGTCTGTCTCCATCGCATCCACCTAAACGGTTGAAGGAACGATCTTTGAAAGTAAGACACCTCGTACCACCAACTGTTCGGAGTGAACAGTCGCATCTGTGAGCTTTCCTGAAACTTTTATAGGAGTTCAGTGGGAACATGTTGTATCAAACGATAGGCACACTAATATCATACTAGTTGTTGAACATAATATCACATTAGTTGTTGAACATGCGCCTTTGCAGGTTGAGCTTTACACTCCGAAACGTCTGAATCCGTTCCTAGTTTTACCCCAAACGCATTGAGAAGTTCTAAAGCGACTTACTGAATTCAACTTCTGATAAGGTAACTAGAAAACTTCAGGAGTGGTCTTATTCTGGTATTTCGAAAGGTTTTGGTTTATATTATGAAAGAGAACAACGATAGATACTGTGTCTCTTGCACTCTGTTTCCTTCCGATGAACAGCAAAAAACTATCGTTAGTTAACACCTGCAAAAAAAGCGTTATCCTCTCGCAACTTGGCAATTTCTTCGCTGAGTCTTGTATTCTCATGTTCCATGTTCTTTAAGTGTTCAGCTAGACATGCATTTCTTTTCTTGAGCGTAGCCACTTCAAGAATAATTTACCGGATGATTCACAAGGCTAAAAATATGTGATTTAGACTACATGAAAAAAGCGCGACAAATTTCACCAACTTGGTGCCGATATCCACTTTAGAAATTGAACGCCGCTCATTTTGAACAAATAATGGGATGAGAAGGCCGTCTCCAGCATCGGGCTTCTCATCCACGTCCAGTCCAGTACTACAGATCTTTTCGTCCTAAAACAAATTCTTTATGGGGTCTGTCAGAAAAAAAATCAATAACATTTTGTATTAATGATAGTATCTAAAGCTGGTTTCCTATTGCGAGGAGGTGAGGAAGATCCACCTCTAATTGGCGACAAACGACCGCTCCCGGGATCACGTTTGTCGGCGTATTTTTTTGCTCTGTAAATTCAATATTAAGTTACAACAAGGGCATAGCTGTGAAGAAGATGTGTGCTCTGAATACCCCATTTGAAATGAACTAACCGTAAGTAATGACATACAGCGCAGAACGGTTCCTGTTAGCCTCAGCCATTGGAATACCCGTCATCAATTCAGTTAGCTTCAGTCGCTGCTCTCGAATTCTTTCCTCCTCATCATTTTTTGTTTTGTTCGTTTTAACAGCAAGAATCGGCACACATCACAAAAGGTGAAAAAAAATTGTGAAAGCATGCCGCAACCAGATGACAGCACGTGGAAAAATGGCAAGTGTAGAAAAAGCTATTCTTCTGACTCTAGCGCATTATTTATGGTGGAGCCATTTGATAACACCCATCCCACATTCATACGCATACCTTAAGCTCCTGCTTTCCTGCGTTCACTTCGTTAACTACTAGCCTTGTGATGATCTTCTTCGCCAACTTAGCAAACTGGAATGGTAGGAGAGCTTGAAGAGTCCGCACCCACATCCCTTCTCTAAACAATGGCAGAGCTTAAGTGTTGAGCTTGTCTCTGGTATAGAGAACGAACGATACAGCAAATTATCACGCGTTTTAATGCTACCAAGAGAAGGCTTCAGGATTCTCGTGAGCATCGAATCGCGATAATGGATGAACTTCCTCAAAAAAAAAACACGAACTGTATATACCGTACCGTGCAGTGAAGTATTCGTTTTCACTTTTTTAAACGTAACTCCCTCAAAACTCAAGCTTTTGTTCCGATTTTTTGTAGGTGAGAACACATCACTCTACCTGATAAGGAAGCAAATCTTCAGTTGTCTAGGTGGCTTCTATACTAATTTAGAAATTTTTAATTTTTTTCGGTCCAATACCATATTACTTGTTCGAAATTCAATCTATCTAAAATTCAAAAATAATAACAAAATGACTTATATAATAACAGACGTAACAACTACAACATCAGCACTTTGTCGCAGAACCGTTTTCATCTACGACGGCTTGACACCGGCGAAGCACGGAATTGGGTTTTTTCTTGGTAGAGGTTCCCCTACGCGATCTTCAGTGGGACGGACTTTTCGAACTCGTTGTGAGCTTTTGGGCCTTCAGCTTGACTCCGAAAATCATCCTACAGATTTTTGCTCTGATTCAAGTATGGGGACTGCGATGGCATGGCAGTGGAGGAACATTGTTGTTGCGGAACCATTGCGAGAGCGGCTTTGATTTTGCGCTTGGGGTCGGAAAATGAAACACTACGGGCGACACTGCGAGCATGCGGCCAGATAGCAGTCATCCATATGTTGAGGCGCGTTTTGGAATCCATTTCAGCCTCGGTCCGATGAAGGTGATCAACCCCTATGCCACAGAAGCTGCCATGCAGTATCACCGCACCCCCTGCATTCGTCACGTCAGCACATGGAACCTCGGATGATATCTGGTACCAACGGGAAGTCGCAAAAACTTGACTTCTTTCGTGCTAAACAGCAAAAACTTCGATTCGTTGCTCTAGATGGCTTTTTGTCACTCCTTAATAGTCCGTTTCTTGTGGGCATGAGCCTAATTGAGATGCGCTCTGCCACTCTTGAGGGGGAATCAGCGGTTTCTTACTGAGCTACGTCAGAAGTGCCCAGCATCTCTCAGACAACGTCGCACGTTGTCTTCGGACGGATTTAGACCGTCTGGCGTTGAGAATCCGCGGTGAATTTCGGGTGCAGCGTGATGCGAGCCACTCCTTACAAGTCGCACAATGATTCTATTGGCGAGAGAAGAGGTCATTTTTGCTACTTCTGGGCGCTTTTTGACTTTGGCAGGTTCAATGCTCTTGAATTTCTTCCAAGTCGTCCACTGGGGCTCCTTGAACTTCAAAAATCTGCTGGGATGTTAAGCCTTCGTAGAACCTCCGAAAGATGGCGTCACCTGGTCCTGCCACAAGCTATGAATTCCCTAATGTCTTGGAATGTTCTGAGTACTGTGTAGGCATATGAAACTGACACAAAACATCAAAAACACACGTGCTCTCAACATGGAAACTCATCGTTTATCAACAATGAAATTGGGTGCCCGCGGACAATACTCGAAAATGAAGCTCCATTTCCCCTTGAAAGGAGGCTATCGCACCGATACGCTGCTATAATATGACTACCTGTGTGTGTCAACTGCTGTCGAAGTTTTACTGCGAAAGCTTGAGTTTTGAGGAAATTACGTTTAAAAAAGTGAAAACGAATATGCACGGTACTGTACATACTTGACAGCTGCTAGGAAAAAACTCACTGGTTATCCGATAGACTGGAAACAACTTTAGATAGAGCAAGAAGCGACTTATTTATGTTTGCACCTTCCTAAACCTGCTTATGCATACAGTGACAAAAACATTACGAACAAATAAAAAGTGACCTTTTGGCGCAATCCTTCGCTACCGGCAGCCGCCGCATTCTCACTGCCAGCTAGATCAACAAGGTTCATAATCGAACACTTCGTCGCATTTCCGCCGAGTTTCACTGAACGCCTTATGCCGGGCCTTTGCCAGCCTGAAGACGAACTCTGCGTTTCTGCTTTCCAACTTCTCGTACAAGGCGTCCATTTCCGTGTTCTTCGCCTTGGCGACGGCAGCCTTAGCGAGCCTCTTGCAACTCTTGTAGGCAGCGAGGTCCTCGGGGCTCCGGGTCTTCTGCCAGCGCTTGTATGCTTCCTTCTTCTGCTTCACGACTCGCTGGACCTCCTCGTTCCAGAACCACGCTGCCTTGTCTCCTCTGAATCCACCTCGCGTCTCGCCCACTCGCTGGACTCCTCGTTCCAGAACCACGCTGCCTTGTCTCCTCTGAATCCACCTCGCGTCTCGCCCAGTACCTCCTTGGCACATCGCAGGATGGTCTCAGCCGCGTTGCCCCAAGTCCGCTGTACTGGCCCGTTAGGATCTGGGAGACCGACTTCCATTATCCTTCGCTTGAGGTCATCCTTCTCCGCTTGGTGCAGCTTCCACCACCGGATTCTCCTCTCGGTTCTTACCCTTGTCTTCTTGGGGTTGCTCGAGTATGTAAGTAGAAAATAACACGACACGTACCGTCGTGCGACTCGATGGTCAACCGTATGATAGTAGAGGTCGCGAACTCAGCTCTTTCAAAAGATCACCGAGTTTACGATGTTCTGAAAAGAAATAATTTCTGCAAAGGAGTGATTGAGAATCAACCTCCGCTTTCGAAATGAGTATTCATCTACTAATGCTATAGGAAGAAGCGGTACCTTGAGCTTGCACCAGAAGTTCCTCTACTTGCGCCATTTCTGTGATTACAACCTCTTTTAGACCTTCTATTTCGAGTAACACCGTCCTTGCTGTCGTATATGGCAAATCAACAACGTTTTCAGTTAGAAGAACGCGAACGCGTTCGTTGTAGATCTCAACATATGAAATCCGTAGCAGAAAATTTCTATCCTCGGACTAAAAAACAAACAATCAGAAGTTTTAATGACGAATGGATCAAAATGGCAGACCTCTGCCATTTTTTGAAAAGAGCTTGAAATGTGCATTGCACGACACCATGCCCCGTATCTGATCCGGTCAATGTATGCGTTTTACCTGCAGCAGTAGAAAACAGTCGCAACTTATTTTGGGGCACAGAGTTACTGAAAAAGCATACCAGGTTCCGACTGCCCGTAGGCGCACACCGCTGTATTAAATCCTGCTAGAGTCGAGTCAGCTATCCCTGTCATGACGCGATTATAAATGTCAACGTTCGTGCAAAGTTGATCGAAAACTTCATCTGAATATCACGACACATAAACACATTACAAACCGAACACTAACGCTTCATTTTATTGTGTTGTTTCTTCTGTGCCATACAGGTTGTTATGGTGGAACACGTTTATTGGTCAACGTTTCGACAAATCGTCGTCTTCAGGACCTGAAACTGGTTCGAAGTCCTAGCTCTGTAGCTCACCTGGTAAGGCGCCTAATCTTACTGAGTTCATTGTGCGCGACTGTTCGTGTGAACTTTATGTACTGTGATTGTTGATTGAGTATGCTGAATAATTCATCCATTTCAAATTGTGTTGAAGTAATTACGCAGCAGTCATCAATATATCGGCAGTACATAATGGGCATGCGTGCTATCACCGGTTGTTCTATTCTACCCATAAAGCAGATAGCTAGGACCGGTGCTAGACGTTGCCCCATTGCAAGCCCCCGTTTTGTGAGAAGTACTGTCCACACCACTTGAAAATGTTACAGTTCAGGCATTCCTTATCAGAGTCATAATGTGCACTTTGCTCAATCCGAACGTTACAATTTCTGCACCATGCTCATCTAGCATTTCAGAGAGCGCTTGCAAAGCTTCATTATTGTTCACGTTCGTATAAAGCGCAGTTACATCAAATGACTCTACCACACAGTTTTCTTGAAATCTACAAGAACGTAGGCGATCAAGAAAATCTCTGGTGTTAGGTAAGTGTGAGGGTACATATCGGATGAGTTGACCAACAATTTTAGTAACCATGAAATGCTCTTCGATAAATAAATATATATATATATATATATAATAGCTCTTCGACAGAAAGTTGTACTTACCCGACAATCGCTTCATTTCCTTCGGCGATGTAGATCGACCGGTGTCCTCCCAAAGTTCATTACAAATAAGAAACTGGGGTCGATATGTAATCTCACTGAAAATCATCCTAGGGTTGTCAATATTTACCGCAGCCTCCTAGGCGTTGCAATCAAGCAGAAACAATACATATTTTATTCCACGTTACTTAAATGTAATGCAAAAGAGGACTCTTGCCGAAGGTTGTTGTCACATCGCTGTTGGAGAGCGATTGAGGATAAGTCGATGGAGATTTGTAACTCAATCCGGTCTAGGGCAAAATCAACCCTTTGCGCCAAATACAACGCTCTTAGAAATCAGGGATTCAGTGGTTCCAGCGAGGGGAGAGAATTGGACGTAGACCACCAGTCTCAGCTTACTACTACTCCTGAAGTGAGCAACACTCAAAATCAAGCAAGGGTTACAGTGGTTGGTAATGCATTCATTTCACAGAACGCTCTAGATTTGCTCAGTCTTGGACCATCTTTTTCGATCGCACGAGGGTTGGACCCTCTACATATCGTCAAGTAGTAACAGGACTCCAGAAGCTGAGAGATCAGCTCAGAAGGAATGCGAGGCGCAACGAATTGCAGAACATAAACGCAGATTCTGAGCGATCTATGCTTACGCCGATTCCTTTCCCACGTTCGTTCTATAAGGAACCAGAACCTTTTGCTGAAGTAGACATTAAATTTCGGGCTCTCTCGTCAGGGGTGCTTGAAGTTCTCAACAGGCACAGGCACGAAAGGTTCTCAAACATTACAAACGCACAGTGGGAAGGATTTCATGAGATACGGGAACGCGTAGCAAACAATGAAATCCGCCTCTCTGTAAGCGACAAAGGAGGAGAGTTCGTAGTTTGCCCTCGTATACTAGATCGGGAAATTACTGAGCTCCACCTTAACGACACGTCTATTTATAGTCGCACTACAGAGAAAGCGTTTCTCACACAATGTCACAGGTTGAACGCATCATGGATATCAATTGGAAAGTCAGCAGGATTAGCCGAAGGATTAATCAAAAGATTGAAGTTGGATACTCCTTCGTGCCCCGTGTTTTATAGCCTGATCAAAACACACAAGCTGTCGGACGGAGACGAGCACTCGGTTAATGCTAGCGATTACAAAATACGACCTATCATCAGCTGTGTGGGAGGACCAACAGACCGCATTTCATGGTTTCTTACAAAATTGTTGGTCAACTCATCCGATATGTACCCTCACACTTACCTAACACCAGAGATTTTCTTGATCGCCTACGTTCTTGTAGATTTCAAGAAAACTGTGTGGTAGAGTCATTGATATACAGTACTCGCCGTTTGAAATCGAAAATTCACGCGAATAACGCGAATCCTCGTTAATTTCGTGAATTCGTTATAACTCGGTTCAGAGTGAAGTATTCCAGAAACGGAAAACACCGTTGAACTCAGCTCTTCAAGCGCTACAAGATGGTGCTAAAATATTTTCAGAAAGCTTGATTTCGGAATGCGCCATGCACTCGATTTTCATCTCAAAAAGTAGTTGCTCGCATGTGATGTGTATATAATCCCGCTTATGCGGGCTAACCGCTACACACAAAGAAGGGCCTCAAAACTTACCCCAGAATGCGCCACGTACTCAATTTCATCTCAAAAAGTAGTTGCTCGCATGTGATGTGTATATAATCCCGCTTATGCGGGCTAACCGCTACACACAAAGAAGGGCCTCAAAACTTACCCCAGAATGCGCCACGTACTCAATCTCATCCACTACATTGTGAGATTAGATGAATGTTATTTTCCGAATTCTTAGATCTTCATTTCGTTTTCAAGCGCTTACTAGCTTTACGTGTTCCCTCTGCTCTCAATATCCCATCCTCTGTATATCAAGTGGAATCTTTGAACAGTTCTCAGCAGGCATAGTGGGCCTATTATGTGACATTTTCCATTTTCAGAGGAGATGTTTTGCAGAAAGCTCTGAAAATAGCGAAATTCCTTTACTGTCGTAGACTATGTTTACTTGTCTGTAGGAATTATGTGGAAACCTTGGTCGCAGGTGCGCGTTTCTTCTGTGATGTGACCCCAAACATCACCACTTGTCATGCCTTTGCCACCTATTACGTGACAAGTCCCATTTTTTGAGGAATGTTTTGTAG